GGAGGCGGGGGGGAGTTGAACTATGAGGAGGAGGGGGAGGAGGGAGAGGAAGAGGGGGCGAGGCGTGGCCTTGGCCGCAGCCTACGGGGCCCTCGTGGGCTCCCTGCTGGTCGCGTGCCAGGCCGCCCCCCGACGCAGCCGCGCGGCCAGAGGATGGGACTTCCTGCTGCTGCGTCCCGCTCCCGCTTTTCTGCGTGTCTCCAGCTTTGTCTTTCCCCCTGTTCCACTCCCCTCGCGACTTCCCCCTCCTCCTCGTCCTCATCCTCGTCCTCTTCGACCTCCTCCTCCTCCTCCTCCTCCTCCTCCTCCTCCTCCCCATCTCCCACTCCGCTCGCCACTCCCCCTTCACGGGTGTTGTTATCGATCCCTTGTTGGTGGATCCAGCTCCTCCACGTTGCATGAAATGGCACGTTCCGCGCCCTCCCGCCTGACTGACTTACGCGGCGCCGCCGCCCGCTTGGTCTCCACGCCAAGATTGTCTTCAGACCGGGGCCGAGGGGGGTGATGCTCTGTGCAGCGGTGGAGAAGTACCAGGAACAACAATACGACGCACGCGCGCACGAGGTTGCGTCCGTTTCGAGGGTACGCGTTGTGAGCACCTTCGTGGCGCGAGGCTGGCCTCGCGGACGGGGGGGGGCGTATCCATGTGCACCTCCAACCTCCAGTATCGCGTTCCCTCGACGTGTCTGGCGTGTGCGTCCTCAGAGTCGAAATCCCACACGTACACATCCATCAGTTATGAAATGCCCCGATGGGCCCCGTGATGGCCACATCCACAACACGTGTCCTCGACATTATGTGAAGCAGGTGCGCGCGGGGTGCAATTCGGTGTGTCGGATGGCCTACGGCCCATCCCGCCACCGTACTTGGGTTTTGGACTTTTGGGTCAGAGTTCTCAGGGATGCTTCTCTGGGTCTCTTCGGAGCGCTCTCGGGGACTCTTTGCAAGCAGTTGTGGTGCCTGCTGGGATGCTCTTGGGGGTCTCTTGAGGGCATCTTGGTGCCTCTTGGGGGCCTCTTGGGGCTCCTTGGGGACATCTTGCAGGCCTCTTGGGGGCCACTTGGGGCCTCTTGGGGGCCCTCGGGGCCGAAGGCTCGCAATGTCCGCTCGGGTTCCCCATATAGGCCCCGTTTGGGGGCCGTCTTTCGGCGCCCTTGGGCCGTCTTGTAGCCCTCTTGGACCGACTCGGGGCCCTCCCGCTTGGGGGCTTCTGGGGCCTCCTTGGGGCGATCACGGAGGCCTCGTGGGCTGGTTGCCTTGGAAGTGTGGCAGTTTTGTCGCTGCTCGGCGTGCGTGCGTTGTTGTGGGCGTGCGAAACAGACGACGCCCGCGGTGGTCATCGAGCAAGAGGGGAGAGGCGACAGGCAACCACGAATGACGACGGGAGCCAACACCAGGACTTCTGCGTTTTGGAAGCGGCTGGGAAGCGTCTTGGAGGCCTCGTGGAGCCCTTTTGGAACCATCTTGGAGGCCTTTTTGGGCCCCCTTTTGGGGGCTTGGACGGCACAGCTGACAGATTCTCGCGCGGATTTCTCGCATCGGCGCCGGGGCCCCCTCGCGGCGCCGCCGGCGCCGCCCCCGGTTCGCTCCGCGCGCCAGGAAGGGGGGGCCACCGCTGATCCGAGAGATTGGTCCGCGCGGACCTCCGTGCTTGTATGTCTGTGTCGTTGCTCGTTTTCTGAGGTGTGGAAGCGGAGCCCCTGATGCCCCCCCCTGGGGCCCTTTGTGGCCGCAGGGAGGGCCTTGGAAGAGAGGGGGGGGGCTCGGCGCGCTGCCGCGCATAGCAGGCTTGAGCTAACCCCTTCCCTCTCTCTTGGACCTCTCGCCCTCAAAACCTTAGGGTTCTAAACTGCCGCACCGAACTGCCAACTCTCTTGGGGCCCTCAGGATCGTTTTGGGTTTTCTCTTGGGCCTCTCTTGGGGCCGATCTCTCGGACATGAATTGGAACGGCGTTCCAAACATTGCCTCGCTGCGTTTCAACTGCTGTCCACGCGGTCTTTCAGAGGATCCAGAACATTAAAGTGACGGAGGGGACCTACTCCAGGTCGGCAGCATCGCAGAGCAGCGCATTCCCTGGTGCAGCTTCCGTCATCACTGGCTCGCAGCTGAGCTGTTCGTGCACGATCTCAGTTGGAGCCCTAACCACGGCGTTCACCAGATTTTTCGCGGGCTAGGTCACAACATCGCCAACATGGTTCTGCATAATACGCAGCCTCTTCCAGCGTCCACCGCCGACACCAAAGCTCGTCGCGACGAGTTGATGCACTTACTGTGGAAGGCGGGGGTGTCGGAAGACCTCGGGCACGCCGAGCCTCGTGGCGCTGGTGGCCTGGGGTGCACTGCTGTGTCCGACCTCGCGGGCCTTTGCACGGAGAGCACGTTCGAGGAAAAGGTGGAGGCTGAGGTTTCCAAATTCGAGGCCCACAAGGACGATCCTCCCCCTGAAGTGGCCAGGGCACGAGTGGCATGGAAAGTTGCTCGTTCGGACCTCCACCGAGCGTTGCGCCAACGTTCTGAAGGAGCTGGCCTTAATGGGCGCGAAGATGAGGACCCCCCCCCCCCCCCCCTGACGACGCCAGAGGAGGTACAGCGGGCCGATGACTTCCGCAAGGCCTACGACGACCTCGTCTTCGAAAGCGAGTCCCAGCCGCTCAGAACCTTGATCGGGCGCCAATGGCGAGAATTCGTCTCCGCCGATTCGGGCGGTCACTACCCTTCGCCTCGAGAAAATGCGCGTGGAGGCTGATTTTCAGGGGGTCCGCCAAACGGCGCTGGAGAAGACGCCGATCTGCGGGGGGGTACCGCGTCGCGAAGGACGAGGAGCAGGAAGCCCGGCTCCCTGACATCAAGATCCACTCCGTCCTCCAGTTCCTCAAGTGCCTGAAGGTTCTAACCCGCCCCTGGGCGCTCTGCGGGGCGGCGCTGGTGGACTCCCAAGAGGACGTCGAAAAGGCCACCCTTCAGCCCAAGAAGGTGCGGCAGTGCCACTTGACGGCTTGCGTGCGCTTCGACGGCTTAGTCCTCCAGAAGCTCCTCGGCCACCCGTGCGCACTTCACGAGAAGATCCTTTGGGCCTACGACCGCGACAGGGCAACCCTGAACAAAGCCCGGACATTGTGCCATCAAGGGTGGCCATGGGTCGGGAGCCTCGTGGCCGCCTTCACCAGCCACTGCTCTTCGGAGTGGAAGGAGGCCAGAGTTGGGTTCTCCAGCGCCGCCCCTGGCCTCGTCAAGCCAGAAGACGAGAACGACGACGCAGTGGCTGCGTCACCCAAAGAAGCCTCCGCACCGAAAGCGGGGGCGCAGGCCACCAAACACAAGAAGACCATAACCCAGAAGGCCAAAGAGGCGACCAAACGTACAGCCAAGACCGGCGCGCACTACAATACGGAGCGCGGGTGCGGGAATAATCCAAAAGACGTGTCCCCATACGAAGTTCCACGTTTGCTCCAACTGCGGTCTGTTCGGCCGCCCAGCGTTCAAGTGCAAGAACACCGCCACTGGGACACAGCATTGACAATCTCGCCCCCTGGGTGGTAGTATATGCTCAACGGCCTGGGGGGCTCGTCAGTAGCCGCACTGCTACGCACGATGCGAGCGCGACGCCCGGGACATCAGCGGCGGTGGCCAGTGCTTCGCCGCCTCCGTGTTCTGCGCTGCCAGCCAGACCATGCCATGCTAGGCGGGTGGCGTCGATGCCTGGGTTCCGGGGCGACGCAACCCCTCCATGGAAGCGCCCCCGCCCGGACTGGTCAGACAGTGCTGCTTTGCCGATGGCAGCTGGCCGCCGCTTGCCCGCGCCTCCTGGGGCCCAACGGGGCGCTGCGGACAGCGGGAACGGGGTTGACGACCCGGCCGTGTTCTTAGTCAGCGTCTGCGACGGCATGGGCGGTGGCCTGGTTGCGGCTCGCGCCTGGGCATCCCAGATACAGTCGCACGTCGTTGAGGACCACCCCCAGTGCGTCAATTTGTTCCCAACCACTTCCCCGGCACGCGCGCGGCGAGGAAACTGAAGAAAACGTTGGCGTTTTTCGGCTGCTTGAGAGAATCGCTGCCGCCGACTGCGACGCGGTCGTTATGACATTCGGGCCTTCTTGCCGCGCTGCCACGGGGTCGTCTGCCGACCCGACGCCCAAGGGCGATGAAACGATCCAGCACCTGAGTGACTTCGTGGACCTGCGGGATCGCGTGGAAGCAAGGGCGCGGCAGGAGGAGGCGAGAATATTTGCTTGGCTGCATGGGGGCACGGCGAACGCGGGCCGGCCACGAAGGTCGCAGCTTTCGAATATCCACGGGTGCGAGCCCGTCCTGGTGAACGAGGCGGGTCGGGGATGGATGCAGAGAGCGCGATTGCAGCGGCGACTGTCGCCCCCGATTCTGTCCTCGCGCGGCCCTGTCCAAGCGGCGCCCGCTGGCGACGCAGCCAAGGGGCTCGCGGCGCTGAGGTGCACTGGCCCTGCTGCCCCAGAGTGTTGGGAACCTTGCGATGAGGCCCTCTGGGCATTCAGGGGCCAGGTTGGGGCGATCTACGACGCTGCTGGGGGCTGGATTCGCCTCCGCGCACGCCGACGGCAGTCTCTTGCCCTTCGCAGTGGATCGTCCGCACCCAGCGGATCGATCGCCAAAGGTGCACGTGGAGGACAAGCGCGTGTACCAGAGGTTCTAGGCGGACGATCGGTCGCAGCCTCTGCGCGCGCGCGGCAACGTGATGCGGCGGACGGGCGGGCAGCTTCGGCCTTTGCGGCAGACGAGCGGAGCGTCCTCATGGGGTATCCCACAGGGTGCTCCCGCTAAATGTTGCCGGGCGATGGTTCGGGGCTCGTTCATCGCCATGTTACTTGGCCCCCCGTTGTCGCCAGCTGGGCGCCCAGGCCAACGAGTGGCTGCGTCTCGTCCTACCCGAAGCCATGGCCCTCAATGGCAGGGGCGCCATCGGGCGGGCACGGCGCGGGATGCGGCGTGGGCGCCGGCGGACAGCGTGGACCGCTCAGGGACGCGGCTGCTTGAGAGTGCCTGGCCGCCGTTCCCTTCGGCCTGTTTCAGCCAGGCTCCAGGCGAAGTCATGGGGCCGATGGCTAAGGTAGACCGTGTTCGATGCGATGGATTCGCCGATTACGACG